TGTCTTCTCACCCCAGATGATCCAGTCAAGAGAATTCCTCACAAGTGTACTTAACTGCTTGAGTTTTAGTTAATGCCAACTATTGCCAAGATGACTACCAACACTAGCCATCAAAGTTTTGATTCTTAACCTTCATATTTAATTAGGAACTCACAGACCTGAGAAATACTGAGTAAGATCAAACAAGATGTGGTGGCACAAACCTGTAATCCCAGCACTTGAAAAGTAAGGTATGAGGGTCAGAAGTTCAAGGTCAGCATTTGGTTTGTTACACAGTGAATCCAAGGCCAATCTGAACAAGCAACTCTTTCAAAAAAAAAAGAGAGAGAGAGAGAGAAGGCAAAACAAAACTATCAATAGAAAAAATCAGAAAGTTTGATGGAGGCAAAGAATATAGAAAGGGGAAGTCTCTCCCATTAAGAATTTGAGGACTAAATGACAAGCCTTGAAAAAAGCATTGAGAGCATATAAAAAGACAATGAGTAAGAAGGGAAGAAAGGAGACAATTAGATATGACAGCTAAGCATTATCTACTTACATCTTCTAGTGCCCCTAGGATTCAGAGCAGTACTCTTCTTAGTTGAAAGAAAGGGAAAGGAAAGTTAAGGGACTAAGAAAACAACCCAGAGGCTTCTGGGCAGGAAGTAGCAGAGCCAAGGATGCACCTGGAAAATGGACAGCTCAGGTCACAGGCAACATTATGGGAAATGCCAATATCACAACAACTGCTTTCTAAGGCCAGTCAAGAATCTGAAGTCCTCAAATTTCTGCCTCACTGATATAACACCAGGGATAGAGCAGAGTAGCCTTCCCTATGGAGATGAAGCAAATGATGACCAATAAAATAAAACAAACTTCAAATTTCCCTGTAATTTTATCCCAAGGCATATGAGGTCTTTCCCTTTAGCATGACAGAGGGACAATGAATGTATTTTTCAAGGTCCTAAGTGCCATAGACAGGAACCTTCTGCATTCAGATATACTTAGGAACAGCACCAGGTTAATTTTGTGTTATCTCTAATATTGTCAAAGAAGAGACCTGGAGGAATTAAGGTTTTGGGGTTTATAATGGTTTGAAAGAAAATTGACCCCTAAAGGCAGTGGCACTATTAGGAGTTGTGGCTTTGTTGGAGTGTGTGTGGTCTGGTTGAAGGAAATGTATCACTGTGGAGGTGGGCTGTGAGATTTCATATATGCTCAAGCCACACTAAGTTTCTGAACTCACTTCTTGTTACCTGCTACCTCTCCAACACCATATCTGCTTACCATGTCCCACCATGATGATAATGGACTGCAATGAAATGATTTTCTTTGTAAGAGTTGCCATGGTCCTTGTGTCTCTTTGCAGCAATAGAAACCCCAAGATAGAAGTTGATACCAGGAGTATACTTGGTGTGTGATAGGCGTGACCAAGCTTTTGTTTGAAGGAATATGGACCTTGGGACTGTGGAAAAGAAAAGCAGTTGAACACTTTAAGTGTTGATTAATTTGGCCATTCTAGTAGGAGCATGGAAAACAGTGATGCTAAGTGTGATTTGAATTGTGGTTCCCTCTATCAAGAGGTTTCAGAGGAGAAAAATATTAATATGTGACCTAGAGATCATTCTTGTGATAGTTTGGTAACAAATGTGGCTAGTTTTTGCCCTTGTGCAAAATGTTTGCCTAAGACTGAAGTGAAGAATTTTGGATTAATTCCCTTGGCAGAAGAAATCTCAAAACAGACTCAGTTGTGTGGTTACTAATGTTAACTCTAATGAAGATTATATAATGAAAAGAAGCAAACTGAGTAAGGAAAAATGTTTGAGGAGAAAAGGAGCTCCAGAAAGTGGAATGGAGCTAAGACCAATATTCAAGGAAATAAACAGATTAAGAAATGGAATGAAGAGAGTGGTGACCCTAGATCAAGATCTGACTCAGCTAAAAGTTTCCAACTTGTGAAAAGGAATTAAAGAAAAGCTTAGAGCCAGTTGTGGTGCTGCACAGCTTTAATTCTAGAACTGGCAAGGCCTAGCTGATGGATCTCTGAGTTTGAGGTCATCATAGACTACAGAGAAAGTTCCAGAATAGCCAAGCTTTGGCAGTGAGGGAAATCATCCAAAAACAGAAATCTGGTGAAGACAGAAAGTTAGTGAACAAGCCTAAGGGAAAGAAGTATTTTATGGTCAACAAAGATGAAATGAGTTGGAGATCTGGAGTGTTTTCACATCAGACATAGAGTGCAGAGTTTGGAGATTTCCCAGCTGGTATTCAGTCTTGTTTTGGTCCAGTATTTCCTCACTATGTTCCCTTCCCTCTATTTTAGAATGGTGATATATAACCTGTACCATTATATGTTGGAAATATTTTATTTTCATTTTTATTTTGATTTTACTGGGGATTATAGTTATGTGATTGTATGAATCTCAGAAGAGATTTTGAACTTAAACTTTTAAATAAGTGTGAGACTGCTATAGACTATGGGGACTTTTGAAGTTGAACTGAATGCATTTTTCCATTATGATATGTCTATAGGCTTTGGGGGTTAGGGATCAGAATGTGGTTTGAAATAAAGTGCCCCCACAAAGGGAATGACACTATTAGAATATGTAGTGTTGTTGGAATAGATGAGGCCTTGTTGGAGGAAGTGTGTCATTGTGGGGCTAGGCCTTGAGTCACCTATGCTCAAGACACCTAGTGTCTGAGTTCACTTTCTGTTGCTTGTGCAAGATGTAGATCTCTCAGCTACCTCTTCTGTATCATGTCTGCCTGCATGTCCCCATGTCCCACCATGATGATAATGGATTGAACCCCTGAACTGTAAACCACTGTAATTGAATGTTTTTCTTTGCAGGAGTTTCCATGTTGTCTTCAGGCCAGGATACCACACATACCTCATAAGCTACCAGAGAATGAAGAGTGACCAAAGAAATGAGGAAGAAGAGGTTGGGCCACATGAGCTGCTTTTGTCTAAACTAGAGGTTGACTGATACCACAGGAGGAGGAGGATCCTGAAAAGAAGAACCCTGGACACTTGTTGGGGCAACAGAAGGCAACAAAGAAAAAGGAAGACTCTGTCTACCTCCTCTTTTATAAAGCCAAACCCTTTATGTGTTCAGAAACTCACAATATGAATGTATCTTTTCTTGTAAGGCAGTTTCTTAGCAGTTTATGAGAATTTAATATCACAAATCTCCAGTTAAGCCTTCAGGGATCTGACATACTGCATTCTTGAGTACAGCTGAGATGTCTACCTCTCCATAGGCAGAAAGGCAAAGTGAATTATCTAGCTATGTATGGGCAGAGAAAAGACTGGGGCTCTAGCTGTATATGCCCTTTCTGGACTGCACATTCTTTAGGCTCTTCTTTCTCTAATAAGAAAAGACTTAGTCCTGGAAATGTGATCTCAATTTTGATTCAGTGAGTCTTCAAATGGGATGTTGACTATGATGCCCAATTGCTGAGAAAGAACAAGAAAGCCTAGTGGTCCAGGTACAAAACATGGAAATTTTTCTCCCATTCCATAGACCTCATAGATTATAGACATCTTCTGGCTGAAACTGGGTAATAAAAAAACAAGGCACACAAATGAGGTCAGATTTGTCATGAGTCATAGAGCCCCCAAAGCAGCTCTTAGGGATGATGCCTGAAGAGGACCGGTTAATTATGAGAGCAGCCCAAAGGTGAAGGCTCACTTAGGTTGAATTCTTGACTGGTGCCCACCACTTTTCTAGGCAGATATCTTCATGGCTTTTAGGTCCCAGAAATATCCCACAGCTCCAAGGGTGTTGCCCATAAGTATTCAGAACATATCATATGCTTGCCCCAAGTACTGCAGTGTGAATAGCATTAAAAAATGCAAAGTGATAATTTGGTATTTCCAATCTAGGTTACAAAATACATGTAATAACACATAGAAATCTTAATTACAGAATTCAAATTCTTAATTACATACTTATAGCTGTATAGCCCTGACTCCAATCATCATTCCCATTTCTAATCCCATCATCTTGCCTACAAGTACAGTCACTAGATGAATTTTTCTTATTTCAGGGCTTAATTAATAATAAAAATCTCATAATAATTATTCTTTTTTAACAATGTCTGTTTTCACTCAGCATACTGATTCTAAAACAAACAGAAATGTATTCCATGCATTGTCCTGATTTTCCTTTTTGTTTCGGAGAAGTGTTCTATTGTGTGACTACATCCACATTATTTTCTCATTTCCTTTCCTCCGTGGGTGAACATCTGCAATTTTTCCAGTTTGGGGCAACCATAGATAAACCTGATAAATATTCTTTTGACGATTTTATTGTGGACCTTCACGAGAACTTATAGAGTACCCAGTAATGCTTATGCCCTGTTTATACAAACAGGGGAAACTTCCTCACCATGGACATGACTGCTTTTCTTCTGCCAGCATTATGTGGGGATTTGTTGGTTCCACATCCTTTCTACCCCCATGGTTCTGTATTCTGAGCACTACATTCTTGTCAGCTAGTGGTTCCTTACAGTGTAAATTGTTTTCTGTTGATTTTCACATCCTTTGGGAAATTCATATATAATTATTTGTCAATCAACTGCATGTAATATTTGTTAGCCCTTTTAATTTTTGTTCTTTTTAATATTGTTATTTGTATGTCTTTGATGTATTTAATAAGTGTTTTCTTCTGTCCTTGCCTGTACACTATAAACTCCATTTCTTTTATAAAAGGGCACAATCAAACCTCTTTTAGTGAGCACAGCATTTTCATTTCAGTGAAATCTAGCTTATTAATTTTCCATTGATAATGACTGGCTCCTGATCAATACTCGGAAACCTATACCTCATCAATAATATGAGATGATTCTTGGGTGATTTCATCAAAACACATGGCCTTGAGCCTAAGACCCACATATAAGAGTTTGTTGGTCAAGTGTGAGATAGATCAGAGATTCGTGTTCCTTTCTATATGCACACCAGTTGTTTAGTACAGTTGTGAAGACCACGCCCCGCCAGATTGTTTGGGCACCTGTCAATATTCAGATGCTTACATAGATGAGGCTTTATTTCCTGGTGTTTTGTTCTAATGAACTGTCTGCCCATCCTATGTCATCAGCATTATCTTGGCTTTCATAGCTTTCTAAGAAAACCTTGAAGTACCTTAAGCTTTCCATCCATGTTCTTCATTTTATAAGTCTTGTGGAGAGTTTAGATGTGTTGTGTTGCTTTTGTACATAAATTTTGTATCGTTTCATCAACTTCTCCTGGAAAGCTTGCTTGTGACTTCAATTTCATCAAATTCAAATAACTGGGCTAGAATTTAACCTTAATAATACCAAATCACCCCACCCCAAAGTGATAAATCTTTATCTTCTTACACCTCATCCATTCTTTTCAACAGGGTTTCATACATATTTCACCTCTTTTGTTAGATATGGCTAAGGTTTTACAATCCAAATTTAGACACATCTTATGAATGCAAAAATCAAATTCTTTCACAAATATTTTCCTAAGTCCTTCCAATTATTTTTTTTCTTGCCCACTGGGACTCATTATCCAGATAGTCACAATTTTTTCCTACTGGGAGGATTCCTTAATCGTTTTTCTCTTGTTCTTCTCATAACTCTATAACTGTTTATGTCTTCTGAGAGTTTTTATCTCCCTTTTAGCTCATTATTGTTTCTCCCTATTCAAAATGTTTTAGTTCTTTTCTTTCAGACTACTTATTTTTATAAGTAAACTCACTATTCCTAGTATGTGTAATTACACCTCTGCCTCCAGTCTTTTCCTATTCAAAAGCTATCAATTATAAGCATTGAGGAACAGTGTGGAGGGTAGGAGTTAGCTGCCCCTGGGATATCTGATGCCTGGAACACACCATGTGGTGTCCTTTCTGCTGAATATGGGCACTCCTGACATGAGACTTGTTTCAGCTTTTTCCATTATGTGGTCTTACTTTCTCATAGCGGTACACTAAGCCTGAGAACTGACACCTCTTTTATTATCAGAGTCTCTGCAGCCTCATGGGACAGCCTGCTGCACTGCTCTGTAACAGTCTCTGCAGCCTCATGGGACAGCCTGCTGCACTGCTCTGTAACAGTCTCTGCAGCCTCATGGGACAGTCTGCTGCACTGCACAGTAACAGTCTCTGCAGCCTCATGGGACAGCCTGCTGCACTGCTCAGTAACACACCCCTCCAGCACATGTTGCTACACAGAAGTTCTCTAAGCTATTGCCTGGACATCCAGCCCAGGGGCAGTCACAGATGGGTCCTCATTGGAAGCTGAAGATGGAGGCTGCTCTGCTAAATACCATCATCACACAAGCCTAAGAAGAGTCAGCCCTTTTGCATAAGAGCTCTGCTCACCAACCTCAAAGAAAAGTATATTCCAATGACTTATTTTCTTTGAAGAAAACCATATTGCTTAACACAGCTTAGGATCTAGATTAAAGGATAAGTGTATCAAATCTACAGAAACAATGAATTTCATGATATTTCTGCATGAATTGTATGATGGATGCCTTTGAAGCCCAGCTTCCTCCCACGTCTCTTTAACCAGTGACACAATTAATTTCTTTTCGGCAACAGGAAACAACATTATCTGCCCTGATATCAATTTTCCATGTGAGCTCACAGCAGAACCATAGAAGCAGAGTTCCAGGTTCAGAATCAAAATGTCCAAGGGTCTATGTGAAATTGAGAAAATTACTAAAATTCTCCCAGCCTCAGTTAAAGCCTGAACATGGAGGGGGAGTTGGTTTGTCCTCTTCTCACTGCATATTCTGAGTGAATCCAGAACGAATCTCCTTGGTGCTTTGAGGTCCACATCTGTGGGGGGAAATCAGGCAGTAAGAATGGCTGCTGAAGTTCTGCCACAGGTGTGGCTGTGGTGGCCTGTGTCCCCAAACACAGACAGGTCAAAACAGAAAGGGTGCAGTGTGAAAACTCTTCATATCTCCACTGGAGCAAGCAGACAGGGTTCTCTGGATGATAGCTAGGCACACAAAGATACTTAAATTAATCAGATGAGAAAACGCCAATAGGGTGTGTGTTGGATGTGTATAAGAACCTTTAAGACCACTGCCTCTGTCATTCCACGTGATCCCATTTCCAAGCCAATGCTGAGGACGAGATGCATGAGTTCTATGCTTAGAAGAGTTCTGTCAACAGCACAAGGGAAGCTAGACATGGAGTCTCAAGTGAGACCCAAACAGTGGACAGACTTCTTGATTTCAGACTAATACAGCTGAGCCAGAAGAAATATTAGATGCCTAGTTTCCTGTTTGTGTGTTGGGTCCACCCATTCCCAATGTATACTCACCTGCTACTTTTAGGCCTGACTCCAGGTTGCTGCTGTTATTTTTCTGCTGTTTTGGCACCTTAGGCTCACCCACCTGGGCAATATGGTATATACAGAATTGAGTATGAATATGGTATGAACAGACTTGAGCCAGAAAACTCTCTGCATATCTCATGCTCCTGATCCTACCCTTTGTCTTCTCTAGGTAGTCCTTTCCCACTCTGACATATACCCCCATCAAACAGAGTCTCAGGCAGCCTCCTGCTCCCTCCAGGCTTCTCCCTCAGCTTCTGGTTTATAAGCTTGACTAACATGCATGCAGAAACTGTAAATGTGTGAATCTCTACTTGTTTTCCCAGGTAGAATATCCTCATGCAACCATTACCCTAATCAAGGCAAAGGATATCACAAACCCCCCAAATAATTCATTTTCATTATGGTATGCTTTTGATCATGTGCATGTACCACAGTTTGTTTAGCACTTTGCTGTTCTAGGGTAATTAAGTTCTTTCTAGTTATGGGAAATTATCAACAGAACTGCTGGATTTGTTGTTAGATTCTCTGTCTGACATATGTGCTCATTTGTGCCGGGCATTTTCCTAGCATGGAAACTGCTGGGTCACAGAGTGTACATATGTTCAGCATTAGATAATGCTGCCAAGCCATTTTCCAAAGTGCTGCTTCCAATTGCTGTCCCTAGTAGACTGTGATAGCTCTTTAATGAACATGTATTAAATTCACATGGCAATGAGTTTTATCATGACAGGTTGATGCACACATACAATGCACTTTGATCACATTCATTCCAATTATGCTTTCTTGTGCCCTTCTCTGCTTTCCCCTTTCATATCCTCACACCCCCTACTTACACTTTCTCCCTATACCTAAATTCTACGTAAGAGAGAATGCTTGCCTTTCTGGGTTTGGCTTATCTCATGGATCATGATGGTCTCCGGTTCCATCCATTTTTCTGTATATGCCGCATTTCATTCCTCTTTGTGGTTGAACTAAGCTTCATTGTGCAGTATAGCATACTTTATCCATTCAGCTGGCAATGAACATTCAGACTGATTTCATGGCTTGGCTAATGTAAGCAGTGCAGTGATAAACAGGCATGAGTAGGCACCTCTGTGGTACAACACTTGTACTTCTGCGTCTATACCCACAGTGGCAAAGCTGGATCATATGGGGGTTCTGCTTGCTTTAGTTTTTGAGGAACTTCCATTCTGATTTCATAGTGTATGAACTAATTTTCATTCCCATAAGTAAGTATCAAATAAGGAATATGATTGGCCTGATTCTCCAGAGACTGACCAATGCCCAGAATTTCCACAATTATCACTGAAGCCATTTTAGCTATTGACTTAAGATTTTTAACCTATGTTCTGCATCTTGTCTATGTCTCTCTAATTTTCTGTGGGATTTTGGGAGGAGTTAGGTGAGGATCTGAAAGCCACGTGTTTTAATCAACATTTTCCAAAGAAGCAAAATCAATAGGCTCAAGACTGATGTTGTAAATCAAATTGGCTTGTGAACATAGTTCCATTCAGTTGCAAAGGAGAGACCAGGGCAACATCCAGTCTCTACAAGACAATTTTTCATTCTTACACAGGGATATCAGCCCATGTGATACTCAGGCCTTCAACTGAGTGACTGAGGGCTGTACACAGGAAGACACCTGTTTTACTGAGTCTCCTAATTCAAATGTTAATCTATTGTTTTACCACTCCTACACACACATCATGAAAAATGTCTGACCAACTCTCTAGATATACAGTAGCTCCGGGAGACTGACAAATATTATAGCATGTTTGTCACCTAGCCTGAAACCACAGAGTTCAAATGTGTTTGTGTAATTGTAGCTATGATTTATAGAAATGAAACAAACTCATTCACAATTTTGTTTAATACTGTACTACTAGTAAGTTTAAACTACAATGTCAATCATTCTTATTGCTATATAGTATAACTGGATAACTACATAGAAATGTATTCACTCAGCTGAGAGGCCTGTAGTTGTTTCTGCCTTCACATGTCTTATTCTTTTGTGAATGTGTAGAGTATTGCCAATATGTTTAACAGTGTTACAGAAGGTTCTATTGAAATGTTCATTTGCACATGGGTACAGGTGTTTTTCTTGAGAAACAAAAAGTCAAGCAATGGTCTACCTGAACATGCAGGAAAGTCCCTCACCACCTATCCACTGTTCATGACAACTGCTATTTTCTTTCCTACTATTCCCATTACTCTATGGCTTAACCAGCTTCTTCCTTCTCTCAGACATTTCTCATGAAGTTTTTTAAAGGAATGCTTTTGACAATACCTACATAACTGGATATGCAGAAGTCAAGCTGGTGCCTGGAAGGCTTATAGCCTTCCCCCTGTTGAATACTGTTCGTGGTGCTGGAAAATACTTTTGCATACCATCAGAGGAGAAGAGTAAACACAAACCCAGCTATAGACCCTTCTGTCTACAATTGTTACCTGCCTGCAAGATATGCTGGTACAGTTGTTCCACAAACGTTGTTGTGGGAGTAGCCAACCACTATCTGGCTGGATTTAAAGCCTACCCTATGAGATGTAACCCATAGAAGATATGAAACACTTGGGTGAGCAAGAACCTGAGACTAGATAGTTCAAGGACCTAGGGGAAAACCAAATACTACTGTTCTGCTAAAGGAACGTAGCAATGAAATGACTCCTAATGACATTCTGCTATACTCATACATCAGTGTCTAATTCAGACATCATCAGAGAGGGTTCCTCCTGGGAACAAATCAGAAATTCACAGCTGGACACTGTATAGAGAATGAGAGACCTTAGAAAACTCAGTCCTAAATGGGTTATCTCCATAAAATACCTCCCCTCAGGGGTAAGGGAGTGAAGCCAGTGAGGATGACATCAAAGAAAAAAGCGTTTTGAATATAACAGGACTGATGCACATATGAACTCAGAGAGAACCTGGCAGCATGCACAGGATCTGCGGAGGTCTAAGTTGGATGTGTGGGGATGGTGCTCAGAGGAAAAGCAGACACAAGCCCTCATCCCTAACCCAGAAGCTGTCTCCAACTGACAATGGATATCAAAGGAAAACTAATTTTCTCCAACAGAAACTCATTAGGTATACAAACCATACTTGATGGTAAGCGCTATACCCTGCAGTAAGTGGCCAACACAGAATGAACTAGATAATTTGGAGGTTATTTTCTATCTCCTAATTCATAATACTTTGTCAGAACATTTTTTAACCTTATAGGTTTTTTAGATATCAAGGTTTTTAATTTTGTATTTTAATGGGCTTTCTGTAGGTACAAATGTGTGTGTCACTGTGTCTGTGTTTCTATTACTTTTTCTTTGGCTCTTTTTTCGCCTTTGTTTGTTCGGTCCTATTATGGTTTGTTGTTCTTTCTTCTTAGATGCCTATTTGCTTTCTAATGAGAGAGGGAATATTCTAATGAGAGAAGGAAAGAGAAAGAATAGGAATGGATTTGTGGGTGGAACATTAGGGAGAAGCTGGGAAGAGCTGGGAGAGGGGAAACCACAATCAGAATATATTGTATGATCAAAAATCTATCTTAAATAAAAAAGACTATTGAAATGAAAATTTCCTGTAGGAAAACACACATTTCTTCTGTTATTTGTTTTGTTTTGTTTTGTTTTGAGACAGGGATTCTCTGTGTAGCTTTTAGACCATGTTGGCCTTGAACTCACAGAGATCTGCCTGCCTCTGCCTCCCAAGTTCTGGGATTAAAGGCATGTGCCACCACTGCCAGGCAAGAATGCATGCTTTTAAAGTACAGAGTAATGAACAGCTCCAATGTGAACACATTTAAGTAATAACTATATAAGAAGAACCATGCATCGGAGCATGTGAGTCCAAATCCCTGACTTTCTTCTTTCTGAAGTAACCATGCCAACTCAATTGCAACAGAATGAAGACATTTACACCTTTTTATTTCCCTTTAATCTTGCCAACATTTTGGGATTGTCATCTCTTGTTTTCATTGTGCTGTGGGTTAAAGACCTGCATAAGCTGCTGTGGTAGGTTACTAATGCGGTTGAGCATCTTCCTGCGTCCATTTGCAGGGGGACTTCTTGCAGATGGAAGTGTTTTGTCACTGAGTTGTTGCTTAATTTTGACCTTTCTCTAAGGCTACACACTTACCCAGTTCTGTCTTGTTGACACCGTTCACTTGTGGACCTAACATCTTCCCACATCCAGTCTTCTGATCTCTGCATGGTGCTAGATAAATCACACTAAAGCTTTCCCAGGGTATGTCGGGAGCCATGTTCTTTCATGATGGAGAACCTACAACGGCTACCAAGAGTAGTGGACCAATGGTTTGTCTGCATGGCCCACATACTGTCTACGAGTGTAAGGAATCAGGTGATGGGCTTATGGCTTAGGTTTGTGCCCGGCCTGTTTTCTTATTTATGTCAATCTCATGTCCTCAGAGGATTTGAGACTGAATGCACATCAAACTGTGTTATAGTAAATCATTGCCAGGTAGAAATTCAGGAGACATAGCCCATTGCTCACCTTTCACCAACTGTGTGACACTGGGCAGATCATTTCTCCTCTTTCTGTTAGTCTCTTCTAGGGCAAAATAAGAACAAAAGCGCTATTTCCCTGCCTACCACACAGTCATTTTAGAAATAAAATGAAAGAACACATTATTGTGTTTTGTAAATTTGTTATTGAAGGCATATGTTTGTTTATTTGCCTAGTCCTCTCTATGGGACTAAGGATTCAGCTATCCTCTGGTTTCCACCCTTACCCTGAGCATTCTGGGCAGGAGCTGAAGTGACACACTGGGGGAGACACGTTCACACAGGAACCCCTAGTCATATTATGGGAGAGTGTGGCTTACTGACAAACAGACCTATGCTTCCTAGTGAGTGCTGCCTTGTGAAAACCACAGCAGAGGCATGGGTACTGTGTGCTCAATGCATTTAGTGAAGTAAAGTGTACACTGCCAAATGAATGACTGGGTGAGAATTCTACTGGGTGAGAATTCTAAGTCAGAGAGTAATCTCAGCTGAAACAAATGCATAACTGACTGATTTCAGATGTACAAACATGACCTGAATTAATGGGCCAGCTAAACATCCCAATTACTGCTTAGTGGAAGCAGGGGCAAAGATTAAGATATGCTGTACAGTGAGGAAAGCCCTCCCAGGAGACATGAGCAGGGCCCTGGGGGTTATCCTTAGGATGAGGCTGCCGAGGGCAGGTATGTAGGATGATGAGGGCTGTGCTGGCTGCTGGATCATAACTGCAGAGGAGAGAGCCCACGTGGATCTTCCTTGTCGTCAGGCAGCACTCTTCAGTGAGGTGGGCTCAGGAAGGGCTCCGTGCCTCTGCTCTGGTGAGCAATAGCCAGAAGCCTTGAGAGGCAGAAGAGGTGCTGAGCAATCGATCAGCAGCTGCTGTCCCGGCTCTCAGAAGGCCAAGTGGACTCTCTCACTCGGCTGCAGGTGCAAGGACAGTGAGAGTCGACCTGCCTGAGCCATGCCAGCCAACCTCACAGAGGGCAACTCACATGTCAACCAGACTGTGCCGACGCTAGATGCTTCCCCAGTAGCTTGCACTGAAATTGTCACTTTCACTGAAGTGCTGGCTACGGAGGAGTGGGGGTCCTTCTACTCCTCCTTTAAGGTAAGTGTCCTGGCTCTAAAGGACAGAACAGGTGGGACCGGAGAGTGCTGTGAGTGTCATAGCTGCTACTGGGAATGGTTTTCATTTTCTTTCCTTTTCCTTCTTTTTCTCTTTCTCTCTCTCTTTCTTTCCTTTCTCCTTCCTTCCTTCCTTTCTAAATTAAGGAAGGGGGAAATCACCTCCACATGATGATTTTAAATAGTTAGAGCTTCATAGTTTTGAAAGCTTGGCATTGTGGCTTCTTCAAAATGCAGATGTTTTGCTGTTTTTGTGAAAACTTGTACTTTGTCAGTAACACTTCTCAATGATAAATTTCATTCTCTGTTCCACTGGCTGAGAGCACTGTAGTTCACCCCAGAGTAGTGTGTGAAGCATCTATTTCTAGCAAAAATTGTAAATTTTCTGAAACTGGAAATTTTTCCTCATTGTAAACATGTAAATTAACTTAGGTGTTAAATTTGGTATTTTTTGTTTGTTTGCTTTGTTGTTTAGCATCAGAGCACTGGGAACCCACATACCTAGGGGCAGTGGCGGAGGCAGAGAGAGAGTGGAAGGCAGCGAGGACAACTTTGTCTTTGCTGTGTCTTCTCAGTGAACATTAGTGAGAAACAAATTCTTTGATGAGTTGGTGGCAGTGATATTTGCAACAGGTTGCTGCCTAGAATAAATCAAAAGAATTTGCATTTGGCAAGCTTCATCTCTGTAATATCAAAGGATGATAACTCTCTCATTAAGCTGACACTGTCCCCTGTTTTATAAAAAGATCTAGTGGACAGGAACATATCACGTGTCTAGAAAACATGAGCTTTCTGCTTCACACATGCAGAAACTGGGAGTGGGACCATTTCACACCCCTCCTGCCTAGTGTGACTCACAGGGAGTACCCTTAGTCACCAATCTAAGTCACTGGCTTCAGCCTGACTTCTTGTCCAAAGGAAAAGTCTCCAAATGAGCTCCAGCATTGCTGTGTTGTTGATTCTATTGTTGTTGATTCTCTGGTGTTCTAGAGATGATTCGGGTTTTACAGTTGGACTTACAATGACCATGACACTCACCTTCTCTACTCTACAGATTCATTCCCCACTCCCAAATTTTAGAGTACAATTTTCGGGAGGGGGGGGGAGGCGGTTATCCAGGGACTCAGCCAGTTTCTTCCTCAGGGGCAGAGTCCTATAGTAAATTACTGCAGGCTGGCTCTAGGGAATCCAGTTCCTTAGACTCAACACTCACAGAGAGAGGTGGGGAGAGACAGAAAGACAGAGAGAGACAGAGACAGAGAGACAGACAGAGACAAAGAGACAGAGAACAGATGCTCTGAAACCCCAGTTTTTCACCACTGACTAGAGTTTGAATGCTGCCTTTTCTGAAACCAGCCCCACCAGCCCCACTCTCCAAGTGGCTACCAGCAGGTTTTGTGTACCCAGGAAGCTTGGACTCTGCAGGGCCACTGCCAACTTGCCTTTGATGTTTATGGCACATGACAACAAGCATACTGAAGAGACTGGCCCTCCCCAAAGGGGTACTAATCAACAATAAGGCCATTGTTCGGAGGTTCAGGCGATGAACATTCTCTGCTGAAAGCTCATTTACCATCTTGAATCTCACCTGAGGGGTGTTGTGAGTATACAAACAAATCCCTGCACCCTGGCTCTCCACTACTGTTACATCCTCTGTCCCAGAGATGTCTTTATCACTAGACAGTGGAGAATTGCATCCTCTGTTGAGTTCCTGTAGTTAAGCTTGTGGCCAGTATACAAAGAGAAACAGAAAGGAATTACATCCATTGAAAACCGGGAGCATTCAGGATTCAGCTTCATTGTGAAAAACACATGCATTGATAAAGCACAAATTTTCAGATAATAAAACTCAGGGGAGAAGCCTTTGCAATCCTGCTTAATCTTAGTGGAACTTTGTTTGGTGGCTTGCCTTTGAGCACAAGTCAAACCCTTGCTAGCCTTAATTCCACATAATTCTAAGGTAAAATGCCAAAAATGTGCCCTATTTACTGCTTCTTAAGTATGTCCCCTTAGTTCATGTTGCCTTTGTAAAAAGTAGCAAAAGAAACATGAACTAGAATTGGTGACAGCAGTCAAAGTGGGTGAAATACCATCAATAGCAGTCTCCGTATATCCTACTTGTTCAACTTTGTGCCAAGAGCTTTGCTGTGCGACCTCCATGAAGCAGCTCTGGTCATTCCCAGATTCATGGCATAAGCACTTAGCTTCCATCTTCATCTCAGTTATCTAAATTCTGCCTGTTCTTTAAGGGTCAGCAGGCATTGCTTCCTCCAAAGAGACCCCCACCCCTGAGCTTCCTTGGGTTCTTGGATTGCACGTCTTACTGCTTCAGGTAGCTGTCTCAGACTTCTGCTGAAGTGTCTGTTGGGTCAGACTTCTGCTGGAGTGTCTGTTGGGTCAGACTTCTGCTAGAGTGTCTGTTGGGTCAGACTTCTGCTGAAGTATTTATTGGGTGAATGTGTTACAGACTCTGAGCTTCTTATATTGGTCTCACATTCTCTCCTGGACCCAGCATTTTGCTAGGCACATTTGATTAACCGTTAGAGCATGAACAAAGCATGACATTCTACTCCAGTCCTCAACATTCACTGGAATCGGCAACACGATGCTGGGTTTATCCCTGGAAGAAATGGGGCAGGGGACCTGGTGAGACACCATTCATCCTACAGTTTGTCCTCATCCTACACGGTCTCTACCAACTATACTCACCAAGGGAAAGAGAGCATTCACCCAAGGCCTACCCCATTTCAAAGCCAATGGGACTAAAGTCAGTAATGGGTTCCCTAAGAGTCTGTCAACAGGATCTGATCTCCAATGTCATCATAAGTCCTGGGAAATTCCACCCATCCCGTCGTAGCCCCTATTGTTTCAACCCTCTTAACCCACATCCCTGGGACTACTTAGCATTCCTGTTCTCAGCGCTCACTGTCCTGGCCTGCTGCACTATATTAAACATGTCAGATTCCCACCAAACTCAGAAGGGCAGTCAAGCATGAGCTTGCCCCCCACCAACCTGCATCTCTGTCTTCCCCAGTAGCTTATGTGTAGACACACAGCTGTGGTCTGAAGGTTTTCAACCAAGACCTCGGTGTGCTTTCCAATTTCATTTACCACAGATGCCACATCCAATTTGTCTTCTCGTGGTTGAGAAGTCCCTGCATAGAGAAATTATCTGAGCTTTGAGAACTTACCAGTTTTCAAATACCTAGGTCATTAGAATATAAATAGTTCTGTCCAAAAACAAGACAAAGGCAAAACACTTCACACAAACGCCTTTCATCTTACAGGTAAACTTGCTGGCATTGTTTCTGGAACTTAGTGAGTGATGAGAAATCTAAAGGAAGTGGGAGGAAGCTTTGTGTGAATCAGGAAATTAGCTAAATTATAAAATAATTCAAATGGAACTCATTCTTATTACTCATAGGTGAGGGGGGAAATGTGAACAAAGAATGCTAAGTGTTACCTAATCACGGTCTTCCACCAGACCTCCTTCAGTGCCTAGTTGCAAATGATATGCAATTAGTCTAACTATTGTTTGCATGTAAATGGTGGCTCCTGAGTGCATAAGAGTGATGAGACACAGTGGCTCACTGGATGGGTCCACCCTTCCTGCCCTGCTGTCCTACTGGCACCTGTTCTAACAAAAGCAAACTTTAATTCAAAGTGTCCCAATTATCTACTCTGTGTGGCAACAATGACTTCAACTTAAGCTTCTGCATACTGAGTGCTCTGTGTAGTGGGACAGCACATTTCTAAGACCTTGTCTGCCTGCCCTGTACCAATATCTCTGCCTTCCATAGCTCTTACTTCAATATCTCCTGTTAACTTGTCTGCTTCTTTGATAACCCCCTTTTCACCTATTGTATAGCCTATAACCCTTGGTGGCCTCATTGCTTGCCCAGGAGCCTATCATGCATTTTTAAATTCTCTTTTAATTGGTTTCTCTCAGTTTGTTCACTTGGGTTCTCTAGTTGCATACTATAGCTGCCCCTAAGGGGAAGTCTTATTTAGCACTATTCAAGCAAATGTCTATTAAAATTCTGTCTGATTGCTTCTGCCATTCAGACCTATTACACCACTGGTAGCATCCCCCCACTCTGGGTGGGCTCAGTCATGCATGCAGTCAGTCAGTCTAACTTTATCTCCTGTAAGACACTGGTATTGCTGATAACTTCATAAGGATGGCATGCAATTGACCACCCATCTATTAGTGCAGGAAGATATTGTCTTCTGCATCATTAACAAGTAGGATATCATGCAGCATTACCTTGGCTAATTCAGATTAAACTTAGTCTACAGGTAAACTTGGAGAGATTTTCATTCTAGGGAGGATCTCCTCAGGCCCTGGCTTAAGTAAATCCTCTAAGTCCAGGAATGACATCCTATGTGTATAGTAAGCATGGCAGTGGTGAAGGCATCTGTCCAGCTAGCAACTGGACAAAAGGGAAGTTTTGCGGACCCTCCAGAGCACACATCCTTCTGGTCTCCTGTCAGGCTTCTGCTGTGGAGAGGGAGCAGTGTCCCTTTGTCCCTTCAAGTTCTGGGGTTGAACCTCCCTTTTTCCTTTTCTCTTTGCTGGCTAAATCTCCATAACCTTATAAGAAATGGAAGCTTGGCATCTTCTCCAGCCAGCTCTGGGAGGCAGGAAGCAGTGTTCCTATTTCTCCCAACATTTCCATCTTAAATATGTATCTCCATGGCCTCTGGGGAATCCAGAGTCTGGCTTCTCCCAGTTCTTTAATCCTGTGGTCTTTTCACCTGTCGGACACTTCCTTATCCAGTTCTCTCTCCAAGAAGGAGAAGCAATGCAATTATTCTCTCCCCACATGTCTCCTCACATCTCACACTACACCCTATACTAATACTCCTGTCTCTTCAGCCCCTTTCTGTGATGGGAAATTACTCCTGTCTTCTTCCAAACTCATAGCCAAGGCTCTCTGATCCAAATGATCAAAGACATAGCGTGTGTGTGTGTACAACTTTAAACCTATTTGTTGAAAATCATTTGATATCATTTTTCATTTAATTTTTCCATATAATACATTTTGATTATGTTTCTACCCCTCAATAACTCCAGACACTCTCTACCTCCTCACCCACCCAACTTCATGCTTCCCCTTCTCTCTCATAAACAGAGTAAACAAACAAAAAGCAACAAAACAACAATAACAAAATAAAACAACCCTCTCCCCTCACATATATACACACAAACAAAGGCATGGAGTCAGTTTTGTGTTGGCCAACTACTCTTGGGCATTGGGCCTGCCCTGGAGTGTGGTGGATATGCCTACCCAGTTGTCTTGGTTAATGTTTTATTGCTGAGAAGGGAGACGCCGTTGCTATGGCAACTCTTATTAAAGGAAGCATTTAACTAGGGCTTGCTTATAGGTTCAGAGATTTAATCCATTGTCATCACAGTGGGAACCATGGCAGCATGCAGACACACAAGGTGCTGGAGAACTAGCTGAGAGTTCTACATTCAGATCTACAGGCAGCAGGAAGAGAGAGACAGTGAGATTGGCTTGGGCTTTTGAAACCCTAAAGTCCACTCCCAGTGACACAATTCTGAAAACAAGGCCACATCTAGTCCTTTCAAACAGTGTCACTGCCTGATGACCAAGTATTCAAATCTCTGATTCTATGAGAGCCATTCTCATTCCAGCCACCACACCAGCGGCTTTTCATTGGTTCAAATGGATTTTCCCTTTCTCATCAGTATCAATTCATTAAGGTGGGACTTAACCTTGAAGACAAATCCTTTCACAATGGAAAAAAGTAACTTCCCTTCAAGCTGCTTGCAGTCTTCTCCATGACATATTCAGATGTTTAATACTGGGTTGTTTGGGGTATATTCCGTATGGGTACAATTAAGGTTTTATACCAAGAGAAAGGGATACGTGGGCTGTAGTGGGAAGAAGTACATCAATTGATGCTTCAAGTGTCAGCCTACCATCCTGGAAATAACTTCCTGTTTATACAGTGGGTTTCCATGTCCCACCTACAGACTCAAGTGAATGAGAAGGACACTTTGTTTCTTCAGTGAGATCTAGTTTCTGTGTTTCTGCCACCTCACTGCAGGGAGAGGTAACTGACTCATCACCAGACAAAGCCGGGTTCTCAAGTTTTCTCCTTCATTTCATTGATAAAACAAAGAAACTGAGTGTATTGGCCATCAAGCTGATCTTCAGAAGACTTACTTCACACAGTTTCAGTGACTGTGTGACTGGTCTGTTCATCCTTCCTCCAGCCTTGGTTTCCCCATTTGACTGAAGCTTTAGTGATGAACCTTTCAGTGATTGTTGTGAAATTTAAGGGAGAAAGTGCTTAAAGTTTTAAGAGCATCAAGTGGTTTAGAACGGAGTTTAATTTTAGTAACTTTAGTCTCAGAATATAATCCTTTTATTATTTCCTGGTACTACCTACTGATCTATGAGGTATTGCCATTATCTGTGTGGAAGAAGAGTGGAGACACCCGAAGACCCTGGAGCACACCACAGTGCTTATCAGCAGTACCAAGTGTGTGTCTTCAGATGATGATCACTGCTGTGTGTCCTTGGGTGATGGCACACATCACTCTTTTTTATCTTCATTTCAATTTTAATTAAACCTCCAAACACTTGGAATAAGACACAGATATCTAGGGAAGACAGCATTCCTTACCTTATTATTCTGTTATTAGCTCAATGGCCACTCCATAGGGGGCTTTTTGCCAAGATGAGAAGCTCCGTCTTGCTCAGAAATTGAATGGCCTCCACTATGGAAAGAAGTAAGAGTTTTCTAGGCCACCAAATAGCAAAGTTACCCAAGGTCATAATAAAATTGCAAAGACTAGTTCCAGTTCTTGTCTCCCCACATAAGCAATATTGATGCCTACCTGAAACATTATGAATCTCCCAGTCTTAGCATTTTACAGTTTGCAAATGACTTCCTTTTACTGCATTCAAACTCCTCTATGCTTTTAGAGATGTTAAAATAGCATTCACTTTTTCTAACCAGATGTGAAAATGAAGACTGAGAAAAGTTAAAGGCAGAGAATTCCAAATAAATGAAACACCATAAAATCAAAAAGGAAGTAGGATTCCAAGCTGTTGTGAGGACCAAGTGCTGCAGAAAATAGGACATCAAGCCTAGAATCTTGGTGTTTTAATACAACTCAGGCCATTTTCCTCACATCACAGTGGCTAGCTGGTCAACTTGTAGCTCTGTCTTCATTTAGATTCCAGGAGAGATGACCTGTGTCTCCTGCTGGTTGAAGGCTGAGATGACTCAGGATTTCAAAGTGACCCATGTGGATCAGGAATCCCTTCATGATAGATATGGGGAATATGCCTCCTGAATACTTCCATGTAGGCGCCAAAGCTCCACTTAATCCTTACATAGGATATGACCCTGCATAAGTCTTCCTGGCCTTTCCTGTCTCCTCTGTCACCCCTTGGACTGCTCTTCTAGCTTTCTGCATTGCCTGTAGCAAATGTCCCCCATCTTTGCTTTCTGATATTACTCTGAGCTCTGTTGACCCTTGTTCTTCTGTGAAGCCTCAAGATTCTCTCAATGTCCACCAGCATCACCATGGTAGTGTTCCAAAAGCACTCAGTATCTGGGAAAATTGATGCTTCCTCTGGACCGTACCCTGTATTAAGAATTAGAGAGCCAAAGAGGAGTGATTACTGCACAAAGGGGCAAGTAAACTAATGCAGCAGCTCCGGAAATGGTATTAAAATGATTCTCAGCTTTTCATAATCCTAACACATGAGGCAATATAAATATGCCTCATTCTTATTCAATGTAATAGAAAACTTTAAATAAATGTCACATCTAAAGCAAAGTTAAAGAGTAATATTGCAAAATCCAATCTCTTGGACTGTGGTTTTTCCTTCCCATTTCTGTGAGCACTCTTTCCTCTAACAGGTTAAGAATCATAGATGCACTTGGTTGAGTGATGTGCTCAGTGCACAGGCAGATGAAGCAGACACCTGAGCCTCAGGCAGCTCTGTCCACTGCGGGAGACAGACACAGGTGATGGCCACTTCTGATGACAGTGTGAAAGAAGATGCAGTCAGTTAGGTTATGCAAAGCAAGTTGCTCAGAAGGGCTAACGTTTATGGTCCAGAAGGACTCCAGAGAAAGCCAGTGCCCCACCTAGGAAGCTGGATCTAAGTACAGGAGAGAGGGAGGAATTTGGTTCATATAGTCATTCATGCTAGTAATACAGTATGCTTTCTTCCAAAGAAGAAATCTTTGATATTTTATTAGGAAAACCTTTTAAGAGTTCAGATTGTATTTTTTGGATCATTTAATCAGGATAACACTGAGATCCAGGGAGAACTCAAGCAGGTATGAGAGCTGCATGCTCAGCCACTCACTGGGAGGGTGAGATTGGGGAGGAAAAGCCACAGGCATCGGGAGAGATTACAGGCATGTGGGCCTTGGGGAACCAGGATGGAAAAGGCAGGGGAAGAAACCGATGTGTGGATTTTAAGCGGAAAAGTTGGTTCTAAAATTTGTATGGGAAGGAAAAGAAAATGAAAATTAGGATGACCCTAAAACACAACAAAGTTTATTTACAGTTATAAACTATAGTCTGGATTAAAGAAGTCACACGAGGAAGAGAGCCCAAAACCCAGCCCACATACGTGCTTGCCTTGTATTCTGATCAAAGAAAATTCAGTAGAGAACAGGGACAAACCAAATGTGTTTGAGCAGTGGGCAGCTACATGGAAAAGTGAAGTTGCCCTATGTGTTCAGTCTGCAAAACCAGTTCCAAAGGTAGCATATGCCTTCAGGTTTCTAATTATATGAGAAAAGGCAAAAACATTTCTGATTAAGTGGTTTTATTGTAAATAGACTCCCTTTCCTTTTAAGCTGAAAACTTCATTCCTATAAATACCAAATGAAATGGAGATGTTGTATTGTGAGGCTGAGGCCTTGAAAATGAAGTACAGAGCTAATAGGTCATTTCAGGAGTTTTTCACTTTGGCAGTGCAGAAGTTGGCTACATTCAGCATCTTCTTCCTGTTACCTAGACAACCTTAGGTGCAGCATGGTTTGTATGACTCTGAGTAACAAGAAAATGACTCTTCTCCCAGGGCGGGGCAGTGTGGATGCTTTAAATCTCCTTTAGATGATCCCCATTGCAGACATTAAAAAGTGCTATTTGCTTAAATAACTGTAGGGGGAGAGTGAGCAAAACAGTGGCTCACTTAACTATCATAGCTCCCTAAGATTTTTTAGAAGCCTCTTCAAAACATAAGCTGAAATCAACCAAGAAAATGTAGCTTCCGGCTTCTGGAGATAGCCAGTCTCATGCTTACCACATAAAAGGTCTCCAGTACTCATGAGTACTTTGCAGGGCTGTTCAGTCAGGCTTTACAACCCTGACACAATGTCCTGCACTGGGGAAGGCCTAAAGGTGGCAGTTCTCCTAAGGCAGCATTGTTTTAGTGGGACCAGGAGGAGGCCATCATGCAGGAGTTCTGAGGAAGTCTCAACAAGCCCCGAGCAGATGGTTAGTTCAGAAATGTGTGGTGTTTCCTCAAGCATGGGCTTCTCAGGTCCCTTATAGTTGGGTACCTAGCTTACCATGTTTGCATCTATCCATCTCAGAACTCAGAGATGCCACGCACTCCACCTTCCCAATTCTCCACATATCCATCTGGGTTCTCTGCTTTTCAGGTTCTGTGAGCTCTTCGACGTTTCACCCACCAAGACCACTCATGTGCCCTCCACTAACACTAGCAGAGAGATGTCATGGGACTCCTTCCCTCTTCAGTGGGTTTTTTGGAAATTGAGAAAATTCCCCTCTAGGGAGGAATAAGTAGCAGGGGAGAAGTAATATGGAGTCAGTCCAACAAGCCTATGATCAATAATGAAAAAATGGCTTGTCCTGAAAATTGGCGCATCTCTGAACTTAATAATACAAAATTGCAAAACTAGAGAAAAGAATGAATATTTGGCTAATAAAAATAGAGAGAGTTGGGCAGACACATGATAGATCTTACACACAAGATACTTCTAGGAAAAAGTAAAAATATGGAACTAATTTTTTTCAAAATTGATAGAATAAATATTGGATATAAACAAAGATTACCCAAGTCTATAAAAATTTTAAAGAAAACAAAAATAAACACTAAAATACATGTGGAATCTTATCATCCACATAACTTATATATATGATAGTTATGTGACAAATACAACAACGTGAAGGTTTTAATAAATAAAGTTCTTGGGAGAACACAGTTTCTAAAAGAATCATGAGCAAATATATCAAATACAAAGTTTAAAGAATATAGGAAAAATGTTACTAGTAGCCTTAGCAATAAAAATCCAGTAATAAACATGAAAAAAACCAAAGTTGACAGAATAAGGAAAATTACTATGTAGTTAACAGCCAATGCTATCTCCTTACCTTGAGGAAGGTCCTAAAAGTCTTCTGAATCCAGGTGCCTTTGTGATTGTAAAGTCTGTCAAATCAGGCGTTAGGGTTCTCTAAGGAAAAACAACTGAGAGAATATCACACACACACACACACACACACACACACACACACACACACACAGCAGACATGGACACACATACACACAGATACACAGCACACATACACACACACACACACACAGATACACAGCACACACACACACACACACACACAGACACACACACAGAGAGAGAGAGAGAGAGAGAGAGAGAGAGAGAGAGAGAGAGAGTAATGGATCACACAGAGTTGTGCATCAGGTTACAGGAGAAACCTGGTCCAGAGCACTGACTTCTACTGGAGTAACCAGGGTTTCATCAAAATCCAAGACTTGGATGAAAGTGGCAGTTGGAGCCAAACAGGTAGCTGTATATGTAGATCTCAAAAAGATGCAATACATTCAACTTGAAGATGAGTGAGAGGTACCTGACCCTTGGCAAGGAAATTTTGCAAGACTCTGATTGTGCATGAGGAACCCAGGAGTGCAGCTAGGGAAGTGAGGGACAAATGGAAACCGAGGCAGATGACCAGCTGGGTGAACTGGCTGAACACTAGCTCATTAGCTCATCACAAGCTGATGAACAGTCACACAGCTTAGCTGCATGAGGAATGAAGCTTCCATCTTTGTGACTCAGGATGGTATCCCTACATCCTCCTACTTATCCTTGCCTCTTCCCTGCGCCTTTTCTCATCTTCCAGGACTCTCAGCCTCACATTCTGCCCCTTGAATCTGCCTGTCTTCCCACATGTCAGCAAACTCTGTTTTATGGGTTTTTTGTTGTTGTTTTAGCTATTTGATTTTTGAGCCCTTTGAGAGAACTAGAAATATCAGAGTTTGAGGTGGGATGGCGTCAGATGGGATGAGATAGCTTTATCAATTACCTGTCTCACCATCCTTTCATTTTTGCTTTGCAATAATTACAGTTGATCTTCCATACCTGTGGATTCTACATCCACATCCAAACCCCAAAAATTAGTAACAAAAATGTCTGCTCTGAACACATCCAGACCTGTTCTCTTATTGTTGCTTATTCTCCAAGAACTAAAGTGTAACAATCATTTATATGGAATTTGCATTCACCTGCCTAAGTAACCTAGGATGAATTAAGGTGCACAGAAAGATGGTCAAGGGTTATGTGCCAAGATTACACCATTTTATAACATATTTGAGCACAGGTGGATTGTGGCAGGCAAACGGCTGAAATCAATTCCATGTGGGCTGTGAGGGGCAGAGTGTTTTGACTTCTACTAGATTGTAGAGATTTGGATCTGATTTATCCAAATGTTAGCTTTTTATTATCTCAAGAGTCTAGAGCTTAGATAGCAATTTAAATGTTAATCCCAGTTCTTGGTACATAGCAGACACTTCGTTTGTTTATTCAGCAAATATTAATTACTCCATAGACTCAAAGCACAATAGGTTTTCAGATGATTTCTAACAGCTGTGGCTTGATGCATTGTGGGAATTCCAATGGAATCTCAGAATTTAATTGTTTCAAAGCTTCCAATCCACCTCATTTGTGGTTAATAAGGACATCCTCTTGTGTGCTAAGAAGAGTCACAAAGGCCTCTGTTGAGGTGCCTATGGAACATTGGTACTCCTGTTGCGGTTGAATCTAGAATTTCCTGGCAACCAGGACAATGAAACTCATAGTAATGTGAGCATAGCTCCATACTCCGTGTCCTTACTGATGTGAGAACAATATGGGAATGAGAAATTAACACAGCCACTAAAGCCTGGCCTATGGCTCCCAGCACTGCTGATTAAACACTCCAGAGCAGTTGACTAATTGTTCCTGCACAGACTAGAAATGTACATGCAGTCAGTGAACATGTCCTCAAGGCTAAATTAAGAAGCACATTTTAAGTGGTTATCTGGAGTTGGCCAAATTGCTTTCCTACCTGGTCCCCATAGGAAGAAATTTAATTCTGCCATCTGTGAAGATGGTGTTGCCACCGAGGAAGACCCAGATAGACAGTCTTTCTCTGAGAAGCAATTATCCTAACCTAGGACAAGGCCTAGTGCAGACCACACCACATTCTGAGACTTGGTTTTCAGGGTTCAGCTCTGGTCCTCATCATGAGTCTTCCTCTGATCACTGATCCCTCATGTACCTGGACAGCAGGGTTGTGCTTCCCAAAGTTCATTTTACTCAACCTGTCTTCACTGCTGTCTGTGAATTCTTTGCTTGACTAATTTCCAGGTTTTCAGATTCAGTTCACCTCATGAATGCACATTTTTAGAATGTGGGTTCTAACCAACCATGACCTGCTGGCCACAAGTTCCTTATTTGGATGCTATAACAGCTCATTCATAGATGGTTCGCTGAAAACATTGGTTTACAATCTCTGCCCTCATCATTGGACTACAAACACTGTGGTGTAGACCCCATATAATTGTAAGTTAACTGAATCATCTCCTCAACTATACCATTTCTGAGACAGGTTTCCATTTTTATTCTAAGCGTCATTTCTATGACAATTCTATATAACCCTGGTTCAATTCTCAACAGTTCACAGAATGACTCTTAGTTCACAACTACTCTATATAGCCCAATCCATAGCCCTGCCATACTGTGGAGGCCACATTTTTTATCCTTGACTTCTATGCAGCCAACCCCCTATTCTTCATGCAGAAGGTCTTCTGCCAACTTGCTTTGCCAGTCTCCAGAGAAATCTAAATATCTTAGAAGTGCTTTCTCTGTCCCTACTGTGACTGTCTGTGAAAGAAAGATGAAAAGTCTTCCATAGAATAACACTTGAATTAAACACCCATTTATGCAAAGCTATATAGCATTTTCTCACAGAATATGAATATGAAGATGATATAGATAATGCAATGTGGAAACCCTCCTCTAGCCCTAGGATAAACAGATGGAAAGGTGAATACAGAGAATCAGCTGGGATGACAGTGTTCCAAGCAAAGTTATCTCAGCTGGGTTGCTGAAGGGAAGTCAGTTATCCAAAACAAACAAACAATAAGACAGGCTTTTCAAAACCACAGCATCAGAGGATGGCTTTAGGGAAGAATGAAGGTGGCCTTCTCTGTAAGGGCATTCCTACCTGTGGGCCTCCATGTGAGGCACTGACCACATGGTAGAGCTTCCAAAGTAATACAAACGAGAGAGGAGAGGAGAAAGTTCTGACTGTAAGATTCCTAACTGTGTAGTAACTGCCAAGAAGTCCCCAGAGCTTAGCAGAAAGGCAAGTTATCCATGTCTAATTAAGCATTTTTAGGGATCAAAATGTTGCAGTCTGTCTCACTGAAATGATGTGTGGGCACATGGTCATCTCTGTTCCAGAGGAATTAAGAATTCATATTTCTGCTTTTGGTATTCCTAGCCAGCCTAAACAACAGGCATTATTCAGGGCTCAGTACTCAGGTGATATGAACAGTAAAATCCAGACAGGTCTCCATAGCAGGAAAGTCTTTGCTGCTTGCTGAGAACTGAGGCTTTATAAATTTATCCTTTTTCTGCAATTTCATTTCCTGACTGGGAAAGTAACAGATATTTTACTCCTTCCTGTGTCTGAAATATCAGTCTTCCACATCACACAAATAACAGCATCCCCAAAAGAAACCATGAAAATGTGAGGGTGCGACAGTTCTCTAACCCTCACTCAGAGCAGATGAGTAGCTGAATCCTTCTGTCACATTTGTGATTACTGTCATGTGGAAGCCACACATTGCCCCAGTGTCCAAACTGTGTAATCAGCATTGGCCTAAGGCTTACTCCAACAAATTTTGGATATAGTTTGGAATAGAACAAAGATGAATATGGTTTTCAATGTGAAGGCATAAAGTGATGAAGCAATGACATTGTTTTATGTTAATCTCTGCCCAACATGTGACAGATATCCACCAAGTGGGCAGGCATAGCATGAATGTTTCCATGAGCAAAGCTGCATCAGAATCCAGGCTGCAGCAATTATAAGTGAAGAGACCCACTTATCTCTACTTCCTTTCCTTTTTTGCAAGACTGAGCCCAGAGAGGCCACAGTGGCCATGTTCTGATGGGTAACTCACCAACATGGAAGGCTTCCCTAGGGATGCTGAGAGCCTGAGTTAACAGAGAATACATTGTTATTTACCATATATGACAAGCTAGAGAAGCCACCCACCTTACAACTGGCAAATAAGTATATGTTAAGCTTTTGTTTTCTACTTTCTAGGCCTTACTTGGGAAAAAGGAGTCCAAATGCTTCTGGATAAATTATAACTTCCACTCCTGACAAGCCTGACACATAAAGTCAAGTGGAATGACTAAATCTTTTAGATTTCCTGAGATACTTTTCATTACAAATGAGCTTCTCTACATTTGTTATCTACTATTTATTTACTTAACATGTTTATTAACACCGTCTGTGGGCCATTTTCTTGGGTTTCTATTAAGAGAAAACACCATGATCAAAAAGCAACTTGGGAAGGAAAATGTTGATGTACCCTACACTTCCAGAAAACAGTCCATCAGTAAGGGAAGCCAGGGCATAAACTCAAGAAGGGCAAGAACTCAAAATGGGCAGGAACCTAGAGACAAAAAACTGATGGGTAGGCCATGGAGGAGTGCTGCTTGCTGACTTGCTTCTGCTAGTTTGGTCAGCCTGGTTAGGACCAACAGAACCTAAATTTACCAGCCCAGAAGTGGCACAATCCATGATGAACTGGGCTGAATTACATTAAGCAGCAATTTTAAAAGTGTCCTCCAGTCAATCTGGTTGGGGAAATATCTCAGTTGAGGGTCCCTTTTACCAAATCACCCTAGCTTCTGTCAGACTGACCTCACACTAGCCAACATAGCCAAACAGATGCCAAGCTCACCAAGGAGGCCCATACTTTTGAAGCTATCCTACTTCCCATCCACACATACACTGTATGCCAGTCCTGTGTCAGCTTTGGCTGACATGGCATTGATCATGGGACCTTCTGATTCACCTCTTCAACACTGAGCTGGAGTGTGCAGAGGAATCCACCCAGGCCACTGACTTTGCCACAACAGACTATTGTCTTGAGTTTCAAGGCCAATAATC